GTGAGCTGTGAGCTAGTGAGCTGTTAATAGTGAGCTGTGAGCTGTGAGCTGTGAGCTGTGAGCTGTGAGCTGTGAGCTGTGAGCTGTGAGCTGTGAGCTGTGAGCTGTGAGATGTGAGCTAGTGAGCTGTGAGGCTGTGAGCTGTGAGCTGTGAGCTGTGAGCTGTGAGCTGTGAGATGTGAGCTAGTGAGCTGTGAGCTGTGAGCTGTGACTGTGAGGCTGTGAGCTGTGAGCACGCAGTCGCCAGCAATTCAGGAATACGTCCTACGCGACTTCCTACTGCTGCTACTGTTGTCACTGCTACCACCGGCACCACCACCACCACCACCACCACCATTAACCTAACTCACTTTTCGGTCCCGTGGTACATGTTGTTGTTGCTCCTGTTGTTGTTATCATACCAACCAGTCCAATGAGGATCAACGTATTAGCCAGCGAGCCGTGCAGCCGTGATTTGCACGGTCAGTTTTGAAACCGCACGGCCTAAAATATTGATCTAAAGACACACATACAAAAAAATTGCTCTCCCAAATATTTTTTCTCCACTCCCACAATACTCATCCCTGGCTAATACCATGATGAATGCGATTTCACGCGTCAGCTGAGATTTCGATTTAGAATTTCTACGTGTGTCCGTCACTTGTGTGACACTGCAATGAAAGATGCGAGATGAAGTCGTTTGCGTGATTCAGGATTCCTCGGATGACGATTCCTGGGGTTCCAGCGAAGCATCGTCATCTTCTCTGTCGTCCGACGATGAGGCCTACGCTGGAAATATGGCGGCCAAGTTTCTGAAAAAGTGAGTGTACGCGTCCGTGTAGGGCAGTGGTTCTTAACCTTTTTTGAGTCATGGACCCCATTGAGAATCTGGTGAAAGTTACGGACCCCTCCCCAGGAAAATGCACATAAATACATAAACACAAAATGTTGCATGCGCCTGGTTCACGGAGGTCTCCTGAAGCCCATCCACGGACCCTTTGGACCACAGGTTAAGAACCCCTAGTCTAAGGTTACGAGTATTGTGGTCAATCTTGTAAGGGAAGGGAGAGGGGTGGGTGCAAAATTACAATGGCCGTGAGTGCTAACGGGTCAGGGGTTTTTTGTGCAATGGTGGAGGGGGCGGCTTAGTTGTTTCTCAACTTGTACTTAGTTGTCTATGCCGAAGAGTCTTTAGAATTTGCATTTCCATCAATATATCTAATAGATTGGTTGCTGTGATACTATGCAAGTGTTTGTGCATCAAACGTATTGGTAATTTATTAGATATTGATAATAATTAAAGATTAAGATAGATTAGAAGAGTCTTTAGAATTTGCATTTCCATCAATATATCTAATAGATTGGTTGCTGTAATTCTATGCAAGTGTTTGTGCAGCAAACGTATTGGTAATTTATTAGATATTGATAATAATGAAAGATTAAGATAGATTAGAAGAGTCTTTATAATTTGCATTTCCATCAATATATCTAATACATTGGTTGCTGTGATTCTATGCGAGTGTTTATAAAGCGCACATCGCAGCGATTTGCCTGGAAAATATGTGATTATTCCTGATCCGTTGACTTCCGTGTTTAGAACTGGGGCTGACGCTGAACGTGAACAGGAAAAGAAGGATAGGAGGAGGAGAGAAAAGAAAGAGAGAGCAATGCGAGAAGAAGAGGATGACCAAGAAAACGAAGGAGGATGGACAATGGTGAAGCAAGGAGCTCCCCTGGTCAAGGTATGGCTGCACGTGATTGTAACAGACATCGTTATCGAGCCCGGACGGAAATTAACGACGTGGACTCTATTACCCGTCGATTCACACAGTTCTAATCGGTAACAATGAATACAATTTATTTAGTTTTCGTC